ACAATCCCTGCCTAGACACCAGGGAAGGTTCAGAGTGAATTAAGCCTGGGGGAACTAAATAATGGTTGACTATAACTAAAGATTTGTGGGGACTGGCTTTTGAGTCCCAGCTCTATAATATATCACCTTTGTGACACTTGACAAGGTATTTAACCTCTCTGGGCCACAATTCCTTCATATGCAAAAATGAAAGCATTAGAATAAATAAGCATCAATAAGATCTCAACAGGACAACTAGGTGGTGCAGTGGATAGAGTTCTGGTCCTAGAGTCAGGAAGACTCATTCTACTTGAGTTCAAATCTGGCCTCAGATACTTACCCTGGGCAAGTCACTTAACTCTGCCTCAATTTCTTCATCTGTAAAATGAGCTAGAGAAGAAAAAGGCAAATCACTCCAGTATCTTTGCTAAGAAAACCCCAGATGGGGTCATAGAGAGTTGGACACAGCTAAAAAACAACTGAACAATAGAGGTCCCTACTAACTCTTGACACTATATGGTTCTCAAGATTGACCTAGCTGTACCAAAGCATTTGCATTTCTTTCTCATTATAAATCATGTTAATTATTTAAATATAATGTAAATTGTTGTTCTTTAATGACCATATTTACCACATTTAATTTTTCAAAGAATAATTTAATGGAAAAGTTTACTTTTCTTTGACTCTCACTTCAACATGTCCATGAGGAGCCAGGCTACACCACGAGGAACTAGACAAGAAGACTTTGTTTTTCTGTTTTTCCTTTTTTTTCCCTTGGTGGAAATACGTAGGAAGATGGGGGTGGGGGGACAGGATTAAGGAAAAGAAAGAAACAGAGGGTTATTGAGGCATCCTCAAAAAACTTCAGAAAAGTCAGAAACTAAGAAAGATTAGAAAGAAATGCAGACAAACAACAGTTTTGAAAGCTACAGATTGAACTTATTATATATTTTAAAAGAAAAACAAGCTGCACATAATAAGAGCCTGCAGTTTCATATACATTCTTCTTTCTCTGTCCTGCTATGTATATAGAAATGTTCATTTTGTTTGATGTGTTATGTTCAGAATAAAAAAAAATAGGATAAGTGACTGTAGACATCACAGACTTCAATGTGCAGTAATGACCCTCAAATTATGAACTTTATTTGATTAATAACACATTTAGTCAACTGAAAATGGGTAGAATTCCTTACTCTGATGATTAGAGATAGAAAGAATAGCATTGGGACTTTGGTAACTTATTTTCAGTCCTTAATGTGTAGTCACAGCTACTTCTCTGTTCTAGACTCAAATCTCATCCCTAGACCTACTCTTACTACAAGGACCCTGGTTCCATTAGTCTTACATCTGGCCAGCCCCACTGCCCTCGACTCTCTAACCGTTTCTTTCTCACTTTCAGTCTCAATATCATTATGCAAAAATCTTAACTGCATTCACACTATCTATTTAAATCCCTGCATCAACTGGCAATGTTTCTTTAATAGCCAAAGTTGCTGCGTGTTGTTTTAAAATCTGGGCTACACTATACCTCCAGAGAGATCAAAGGAAAAAGAAGAGGACCCATATTGCAAAATATTTATTGAAGTTCTTTTTTGTGGAGCCAAAGAGCTGGAAGATCTAAGGGGATGCCCATTAATTGGAGTATGGCTGAACAAATTATGGCATATGAATATAATGGAATACTATTGTGCCATAAGATATGATGAAAGGGGCAATTTCAAAAAAACCTGAATAAACTGATGCAGAATGAAGTGAGTAAAATCTGGAGAAAAATTCAATCACAAAAACATTGTAAAGAAAAGTAGCTTTGAAAGTCTTAAAAATTCTTTCAGCAAAATAACCCACACCATTTCTAGAGGACCAATGATAAAACGTGCCATCCACCCCTTGACAGACAGGTAATGGACTCAGAATGCAGACTGATTCACATACATATGCATGCGTAAAGATATAATATATACATACATGCATGTGAATATATATACATATATATACATACACACACACATGCATGTAGGTCAAGATATACCCACCTGTATCTGTATCAATACATGCATGTATCTATCATGCATATATGTATCTTATATGTAAATATGTATCTGCATACATATATGATACACAAATGTATATATGCATATGAATCTGACACAGGTACATATGTGCATATGTGTGTTTCTGTATATACATATACACATATATTTATATATATATTGCAAGATCATGTATAGATCTAGATAGGTCTATATCTAGGAATTTATTTTGCTTGACTACATATATTTTTTCTTTTAGTTTAGTTTTTCTTTTTCCAGGGTAAGGAAGGGGTGGTGGTGACATGAGAGAAAAAGAAAATTGATTTTTTTCGTTGAAAAATATTCTTGAAAACAACAAACAGGCCACAATGAATTAAAGTGGCATTAAGAAGTATGGATGGGAAAGGGATAGAGTTAATAGATGTGATCTGAAGATTACTTACTAAATAGATATGTCTCCATACCTACCTTCATAGACCAAAATAACTTCCTTCTATAAGGACAGAGAACACATATACACACTAGTGAACAGCATAACATTTATTTAATATTCCCCCCCACCCTGAAATCTCTATGTGCTTTGTGGACAACATTATAATTTGTTCTCTGAAAAATCTAGAGATAACCAAGGCTGAGTATTAAGACTTCTTTTTGCTTATTACAGTGCTCTGAAATCATGATGTCTCTTTATCAGTTTCCTTTCCAAAAACCTCAGATCATTCAAGAATGCATCATTTTGAATTTTTACATGGTCATGTCTGGATTTTCTCTTCACTCTCATTATATCATTTCTAGGTAGGTTTCATTAATGTATATCCAGCATCCTATATATGCTGAAAGATGGTCACTGTAAAGGCATTATCAGGATTTTCCACCTGTGCAGGGCCTGAGACACAGGGAAACAGTGAAGTGCCTGAGCCCATGCAGTAACTCTGTGGCTGGACAAAGAACTACCTCTCAACTCCCAGAATTCTCTCCTTGTCATATTAGTCTTCTCTAATTGCCTGCTTTTCATCTTCAAACTCCTTCATTCATGTTAGTTGATTAGTCTTCAAATTTTTGTCATAATCTAGGATGGTAATTCCAGCAATCTCTGCAATAACCTGGGGAATTAAGACACAGAAAGTCTGTGAGTCAATTGCTCCGGGCTGCAGAGAAATCATAAAATCACTGGACTGTAAGTGACCTCTACAATTCATCTAGTCCATCCCCCTGCCTTCAGATAGGGCTATCTTTAAATCACCTTGAGTTTATATTTCATTTTTTAAGGTCTAAGACAAAGAGATTCCAATTTACCTGTGTGTTATGATCCTTACTAATTTAACCTTCCCATCAAGAATATTTTCTTCATCCTTAAATCCTCCTTACTTCAATCTAAGATCAGTTCCCCTTACTCTGTGAGAATGAACAAATCCATTCCTTGGTATAATGGTACAGCGCATGCACTGCTGGGATTTGTGGCTTAGAAGTCTTTGCCCCATTCATCAGGACTGTCTATCGCTGATTATGTTTGCATGACCCCAAATGATAACACCATCTATGGATAAAAGATGCCTCAAAGTGGAGAAGCCACAGTGGTGAGTGGTTAAATAAGCAGTCCCCACTCTGTTACCTGACCACATTTTCCTAGAGCTACCACAGTAAGCCAAGTAGAAATGAATTAAGTCTCCTGTGGACTCTTTATGAATGTATTGGAAAGGCAAGGCAGCAGCATTATAACATGGGACCATGGAGCCCTTACAGGTGATGCCACTGGAACCTGAGAAGGGTTTCCCGATTTAAAAAAAAAAGGTTCTCCTGAATAGGAAATGTGCCTATATCAGGGAGGAAACTGAGAAAGCCAAAGTGGAGAGCTTAAGACTTTTTTTTTCTTTCCTTACAGAATAAAATAAACAGAAAGATAACTGGAATAGAAAGCAGTAGAACTGGGTGTCTACATAACTCCCTAAAAGTGTGACCACAGACAATTCAATTAACCTTCCTGAGCCTCAGTTTTCTCATGTGAAAAATGAGAAAAGTGAATGAATGAATGAATGAATGAATGAATGAATGAATGAAAAAGCATTTATAAAGTACTATGTGCCCATATCTATGCTAAGTGCTGGGGATATAAATATGAAAGCAAAAGTAAAGGTAATAATTCTAATACTTGTACTTCCTATCTCTCAAGGTTGCTGTAGGGAAAATATGATTTACAAATCTAAAAGCTAGATGTAAACATAAGTAACTGTTATCAGCACATGCAAAGAAAGGTAAGCAGTGAAGGATTGTAAAGGCAATTCAAGGGGCTTAGTAGCTTTCAGCTGGAAAAGCCATTGGGTTCTATTCATTCTCTAACTCTTCCCACCCTCACCACCCTAATCACTGATTTTACAACTGACTGAGAATAACAGAAGGACAAGAGATGGAGACCTACTTTTCTAAAGAGGAGGCCATGCAATATGGTGGAAAGAGCACTGGTCAAGGAGTCAGAGAACCCGGGATGGGATCTGGCTTCTGATACATGCTACGTTTGTGACTTTGGGCATGTCACTTCACTTCCCTGGGCCTCAGTTTCCTCACTATAAAATAAGGGATTTAGATTGGATAGACTCTGAGGGCTTCTTCCCATTCTATGTGGGAAACAGATTAGATAGTGTCCAGAAATCCTTATTTAATAAATAAACCTGTGAATTAATCTCATCTGTTTAGGGGAGGGTTTTTTCCTTGCCCAAACTAGTTTGAGATTGTGTAGGCCCATATTCAGAGTCATGTTCTTTTCTTGTGGCCTCATTTTTTTTTCCAATTTTATCAGAGACTAATTTTATCAGAGACAATTTTATCAGAGACTTCATTGGCAGTCTGCCAGCCAAGCTATTTGTCTATGACTCCAGTATACAAGAAACAAAGCTAACAGTGAGCAGGATTGCCCAAACATTCTAGACCACCACTGCTTACCAACAGTAAATGTCCTGTAGGAGAACATGAAGTTTATGAGCAAACATTTCAATATTTTCCTTCATAAGAAGTAAACATAACATTAGGGAGAACAAGTTAATAATAACTCACATTTACGTAGTTCATTGAAGTTTTCAAAGCATCCCCCTATCCCAACAACATAGTGGAGTAAGTAGTACAAGGAGGTTTATTTCCATTTTACAGATAGGACAACTGAGACCTTGAAAAATTAAGTGACTTGCTCATGATCATACAGGAAAATCATGTGTGGGGCAGTAATGTGTGAGGCAGGATTTGAAACCACACCTCATATCTCCAGTTCTAGTTCTCTAAGCTATAACCAAAAGGTGTCTCAACCTGTTCTGAGAGCTACCTAAGGTAAATTTTCTTTTAATAAGTCTCAAGATCCTTCAGCATTTTTCCAGCTCATTAATGCTTCCTAGATTTGCAAAGTCCAGAAGTGGGGAGACTAGAGAAACTGAGTCATCAGTTGTCCTTGTCACTGATTGATGCCTAAATGGCTTTATTTATTGGCAGGAGGAGGAGTGTGGACCTTTTATGATTCTGTGTGTGAGTTTGTGTGTTTGAGAAGGAGAAAAACAAAAAACAAAAAACAAAACAAAACAAAAAAACCAATAAACCCTTAAATCACCAGACCCACAAGCAAAGGAGGAAGGGAAAGTTGTTTTATGGGCTTGGCTAGAGAAGCTACATGACCAGATATGATGTACATTCTTCTGCCTGTTCACACAAGCTTGTGAGATTTTTTCCCCCTCTTTCCCCAGGGAAAGGGTCCCTGTTCACCTCCACTCCTCTTGACTCTCCTTGGCTGTTGAGTTGGGGCTAACTAGATTTGTAAAGTTTGGCTTCCTTGCTTGGGCTGGTGCCATGCCCTTTATTTTATTCAGCTTGTCCCGGGCTTCTTGGCATTTCTTCAGGCAGGGCCCACAGAGGTCTTTCTCTTCTACCAAGTACAAGGTTTCTAACCGCTTTATAGAATCGATAAATGCCACATCTTCATCATCTTTGGGGAAGGGGTTGCGCTTTGCATTCAATTTCTTTAATTTGGGAAGTTTGGCAATACTGGTGGGTATACTGGTCAGAAGATTATCGAAGACCCCCACCTCATGGAGCTCTTTCAATGCCCCAAGGGTGGTGGGGAGATTATCGATATGGTTCAAACCCAAGTTCAGTGTACGAAGGTTCTTCAGGTCTCTGAGTTCCAAAGGAAGGCTATTGGAGGTTAGCTTGTTATTACAGAGATTGAGGTAGTGGAGAGTGCCCAGCTGACCGATGCTATCAGGAAGCTTCTCAATGAGATTGCTGTGCAGATCTAACCAACGCAGATTCTGGAACTTGGCGATGCTTTCTGGTATCTTCTTGATCATGTTCCGGCTTAGGTCTAGTTCTTCCACTTCATTGAGTTTCAGGATACACTTGGGGAAGGTGGTGATCCCCATTTTGCTTAGGTCAAGGCGCCGTCTCCCATCAAACGTGACCTTGATACAGTTTTTGGCGATCTTTAAAGTGATCTTTTTTCCCTTAGGGCCTTTCCGTCCCTTGGCCATTTTGCTTCCTTAAATATAGTAGGTGATATAATTGACCAGTGGAAAAGAGATGAAATTGATGGAAGATATTAGCAGAAACACCCTGGGGGGAAAAAAAACCAAAGCAACAAGCATTAGAAATCAACACAAGAATACAACTTCAAAATTCACTGTGTTCTTCTACAGGATGGAATATAGCAAGAGGACTGAGAGGAGAATATAATTTAGTGCTTAGAGCACTGAGGAATCAGAATCCCTGGTTATAGTCTAAACTCTGCTATTAATTAGCTGTGAGTGACCTTAGGTGGGGTCCTTCACTTGAGTTTTCCTCATTTCTAAAATATGATGCCTGGACCAGATTATCATGACATTTCCTTTTAGTCATGAAATCCTAGGATTATATAATTAACCAGTCATTCCCACACACATGAATGTATTATACATCTATATATACATCCATATACACACATATGCAATATGTATATATTTATTTGTATGTATACATACATACACATATGAATATGTGCATATGTGTATATACATTTATCTATAGAGAGAAAGAGATAAATATAAATGTATTCCTTGAATCTATAGTTCATTGTCCTACTATTAGTCAAATTCTACCAATTCTCAGTGCTTGGTCACACGCATCACCTACCTTGTCAATTCCTAGACCTGTTCCACTAAAAACTACTTAAGAAAGTCATACCACAATGTTGATTGTAGCTACAACAAATTCATATCATCCGATTTCAACTGGACCCTCATTGCTACACAGAAAACATTCTATTCTTCCTTGATTGATTCTCTCTTAATTCAAGTCAACAAGCATTTATTAAGCACTTACTATATATCAGGCACTGTGATAAGCACTAATAAGACAAAGAAAGGCCCCAACAGTCCCCAGTCTCAAGGAGTTCACAGTCTAATGGATTCTCAGGCTCCTTCTGGTTATTTCTAACTTACTCCTCATTCCTCAACCCCACTATAGCAACCTCATTGCGTCTTTCTCAGATGGTGACCTCGACTCCTATTTTTCTGAGAAGCCATCTATCATGCGTTCCATCATCTGTTTTACTCCATCAAAAAAAAAAAAAAACCTTCTACATCTTCATGTATCCTTTGCTCATAGGATCAGAGATGTAAATTCTAGAAGGGACATTACAGTGCACCTGGTCAAACCCTCTCATTTTATAAATGGGGAAAATGAGATTCAAAGAGATTAGGTGATTTGCCCAAAGTTACATAGGTAGTAAGCAGTAGATCAGGATGTGAACTTAAGTCTTATGGCTCCGAGTTAGCACCTCCTTTTCTACTTGTGTGATCTTGATTCACAGTTATGTTGTTAAATGTTTAACAACCAGCTCTCTGGAAACAAAACAAAAAATATCTGCTTGATACACTTTTGAGTTTAGTCTGCATTATTAACATTTTACATCACTTTCTTAAGTGTAGAAATCAACAAAACAATAAATCAAGCCTTTATTTGTAGTTTTGTAGTCTTTGCTGATTTCTGCAGTATAAATGCTTGCAATGAAAATTTAACAATTGGCTCTTAAAAGCTTAAGCCAGCTCTTTCTCTCTCCTCTCTCTCTCTCTCTCTCTCTCTCTCTCTCTCTCTCTC